GCTCCCCGATGCAGCAGTCTTGTGCACCTTCCCTCACCTTGACTCCAGTCTGCCAGGCCCGCGGCAGGTCCCAGGTGAGAGTTCTGAGCCCGACGCTCAGCTCGGGGGATGTGCCAAAGCTCTGAGGTTGACATGCAGGAAAGGCAAGCCGGAGGACGAGGCTCCCCTGCAGGCACCCAGCGACCATTCCCGCGCCCCTCCTTCCGGAGCCCTCCAGTTTGGCCTGTCTTGCCACTTGATCAATGTTTTTAAACTTAGGGGGTGCACTTGTATCTCAGTCCTTGGTGGTATTCCTCCGGGAAGCGGGGGAAAGGTCGGGCTCCTTCCTGTACATAACAGATGGGGAAACTGAGGCCCGGAGGGTTCAGAATGCCTCCAGCACCCCATCCCAGCGCCGGGGCCTTGGTCTCCAGGGAAAGATGGCTGTGGATGTCTAGGAGGCTCCGGTGGGGAGCAACTCCGCCCTCGCCTTTGCCTCACTTGGGGATCTGCAGGTGCCCCTTGTGCTACTCGCCCCCCACCCCTCCTTCTCACCTCCACCACCCCCTCTCCCACCACCCCCACCACCCTTCAACCATCCCCACCCCCCACTGAAGACCACGCCCAGCACCTCTCCAAAGGGAGGAGTCAGAAAAAGACGGATTTCTCTTTTAAAGGGACCCCTCCCCACAAAAATAAAAACCTTGTTCTCGGAGACCACCTAAGACTAGGGAGAAGAGCGTGGGAAGTGTCTGTCAGTGAGGGGCCTGGGAAGCTATCGGACATGTAGCATGTAATCCCCATGTGCTTTGTTTCTGTCTGTGCGCCTAGAAGAAGATTAGAAGACCATGCACCGAAGGGCTTAGTCGGTTTTGTTCGCTTCCTTATATGTTTCCAAATGTGAAATTGAGAGATCCAAGTTCCAATCTTCCGCTGTGAGCGCGTGTACGTTTTAGAATGATATTCTCTCAAAGGAAATTATAAATGAAGGGATCAATTCTTTGTATTGGGTTTAATAGAAATGAGTCCATCAATACTGTGACTGCCCACACCCCAGCCCAGCCCTCCGCCCACCCGCTCCGCTTCGCTGGCCCTGCCACTTCGTGAGCAGCTGGCCAGACGACTCCTATGTGAGTGAGGACTGGGGGAGGGGAAACTCCCCCATCATCCCCAGTGACTGCTGTTCATCATAACCAGGACAATTAACCACCCCCTTATTATTCACACGTCATGATTACTAATCACCCTTATTAATATCTGTGCAAAGCCAGGAGGCAGCGTGGCTCAGAGCTTGGAACGCTGCAGGAATCCAATCCTGACCCAAGGAGCACCCCTCCCTGCACGGGTTTTCACCTCCCCAGATCAGGAGAGCCCACCCTCTCTTCTTCCACCACAGCGACCCAGGCCCTCTGATTCCCAACTTGGCCAGCTTGGGAGAGCCTCATGCTCCCAGAGGCCAGCTCAGCTGCCAGCCCCACTGCCCACCTCACCCACCACCGCCTTCCATGGGAACTGAAATCGTGGTCTCTTCTCTGGTTGACGGATGCCTGGTGACACGAGCAGTTAAGGGTTCACCTGCTAACTGAAAGGCTGACCGTTTGAAACTACCTACGGAGCAGCTCCACTCTGTCACAATGGGGTCAAACCAAACCAAACCAAACTTACGGCCAGCGCATCCACGCTGCCTCGTACTGGCTTTCCGAGACTATAACTGTTTACAGGACAGAGCCCAGTTATTCTTTTTTTTTTTGGAGAGCCCGGTTATTCTCCTGCGGAGCTGCTGGAAGTTTTGAACTGCCCACCATTCGGATTGCAGCCCACTACCGCACCAGGGCTCCTATTGTCCCATGGGGTTACTATTCGGTCAAAGCAGACTCTGATGGTGCCAACAGCACTGTTTCCCAAGTTCATTCCCACTTATGGCACCTGCAGGACAGAGTAGAGCTGCTCCCTAGCATTTCTGAGGCTGTGACCCATCACAGGACCAGACAGCCGTATCTTTCTTCCTCGGAGCGGCTGTGGGTTTCTAACTGCTGTCTTTGTGCTCAGTAGCTCAACACATAACCCACGTTACCCCCAAGGCTCCTTTTGTGGGTCCCTTTCCTCGGTGTATAAAATGTACACTTTGCACCAAGCAGGCTTGAACTCTTGTCCTCTGTCGTTGGCGATGCATGAACGTTTCCATGTTAGACCAGCTAATGGTCGCTTTCGCTATCTGTTGTTGTTGTGATTGCAGGGTGTTGGGATTGTTTGGAGCTGCTGCTGCTGTTCTTACATCTACAGCAACCCTTCATCCCACACAGCGGTCCCACACAGCCTCACACTGTTGAAACTCTGGGCCAATCCACCTCTCTGAGGGCCTTCCTCCCTGCACTGACCCTCCACTCGGAATGTCCTTCGGATAACATGACCAGTGGACATGTCTTCTAGGAGTCTTCTGGTTGTACAGCGTCCAAGGCAGCCCTGTTTGTTCTTCTGGCAGTCCACAATACTTTGAATACTCTTCACCGACGCCATCACTCAGGATGTACCCATGCTTCTTCCCTGGTCTTCCTTCTTCCCTGCAGCTTTCACCTGCACCGGATGCGGTTGAGAACCCCATGGCGTGGGTCATGTTCTTCGTCATTTAAGACTCAAACTCAGGGACATTGAGTCGATTCTGTCTCCTAGCGACCCTATAAGACGACGAACTAGAGCTGCCTCTGTGAGTTTCTGAGACTATAACTCTTTATGGGGATAAAAAGCCTCCTCGTTCCCCAGCAAAGTGACTGGTGGTTCTGAACGGCTGATCTTGCATGTATCAGCCCAATGAGTAACCAACCCACGTTGCCACTAAAGCTCCCAGCGTTAGCCATTCGGGTCATTTAAGATGCCCTGGCTCATTTTGATGCAGACTGGCACGCTGGGTCATTTCAGCCCTCGGTGTTTGCTGTGTGGAGTACTACGGAGGTGAACCATGCTGTGTCACACAGGGGAGTCAGGTGTGACACACGCACACTTACAAGATTTATCTTACCTGCAATATGCCAACCCTAACACGGATGCTGCTCACCTCTTCTGGGTGTGGAGCTCTGCAGACCTGAGGCTTCTTGGTATTGCTGGGGAAGCCACGGGGATTCGATCAAGGTTCCCCTGGTGTGGTCCCTTTTCCAATTTTAACCCACAGCCATTGAGGCCATTCTGACTTGTAGTGACTCTATGTACAGAGTAATGCCACTCCACAGGGTTTCCAGGACTGTAAATGTTTACAGGACTAGAAAACTCCTCTTTCACCCTCATAGCGGCTGGTGGGTTTGAACCGCTGCTCTGGTGGTTAGTAGTCCAGTGCTTAACTCACTGTGCCACAGAGGTCCTTCTCCAGTGTTAGGAAGGGAAACAATCGCTGATTACAAAAGAGCCGCAGAGGTGGTTGCCCTGGTCTCTGTCTTGATCATGCTTCTTTGATCAAGATAGCAGGGTCCGATCACTACCACCTTACATATCCCACTGAAGAGACACAGGCAGGGGTTCTAATCCTGAACATAGTCACTAGGTGCACTGGTCATGAAGAACACAACGGAAGCAACTTGTACCAAATGCTCACAGTCATCGTTGCATTTATTGTAGCACAATCTCGGACTCCTCTCGCCTACCCAACCACATGGGAGTGACCAAACCAATGATGGAATGCCATGTGGCATTAAAATGACAAGACAGTGGGCTTTGCCACCTGAAAATGCCTGCCGGAGTCGATGTTGGATGGGAACAGGAAAACTGGAGGAAGGACGGTGTGTCGCCGGCAGAGCCCTGAGCGAGAGAGCGCGCTACAGCTCGTCAGAGGAATCCCAAGTTCAAATCCATACGCAGCAGTCTGTCCAGCGCTAGCCTCCCCTTGCCAAATGAGACGGAACGAACACCACACACATCCCACCCTCACCCGTGTAGTTCACCGGGAGCACGGCAGGCCATGAGAAGTCACCTCAGAATTTGTCTCAGAGACTGTGAGAGAAACAGAGGGGGAGAGACAGGCAGATCCTCTGAGAGACAGAAATAGAGGGAGACAGAGTCAGAAATAGAGGGAGACAGGGAGGATAATCAACCCCAAAGTTCTCCTCCTTGAACCTATATTTCCGCCTCCCATCTGTGGTCGCTTGGGGACAGGCTAGGCCAGCCTGCTCCAGGAACAAGACCCCCAAAATAAGGCCCAGTGACTCTGACAACTAGCTGGCTGCTGCCTCCTCCTCTCCTGCCTCCTCCTCCCCTTCCTCCTCCTGTCTGTCTCCTCTCTCTCCTTCTGCCCTTATTCCTCCTCTTCCCACTCTCTCCTCCTCCTCCCTTCTTCCTCCTCTCTTTACCCCTCCTCTTTCTTCTCTCCTTTTTCCTCCTCCTCCTCCTCCTCCTCTCCCTTTCCTGGCGCCTAGCTTCCTCTCTTCTCTTACCCCTTCTCCCACCCCTGTTGCCCAAACACCCTCTCCTTCCTTTGGTGCCATATCACAGGGAGCTACCAGAAAGATAACAGGGACCTCCTCCCTAGTGTATCCACCCTTGAGACCCCAAAGGTGAAATATGTCCCCAGATACATCCAGTTTGGGGTGTCCTCGTTATTATAGGAAGACAGTTTGGAGACTACCTCTCCACCAGTCTTAGAGAGTGTCACCCTGTCTCCTTGAGTCTAAGGTGGCTTGGGGAAGACCACTTGAAAAGGTGTTCTTTGAGGGACACTTCCCCTCATTTGGTTGTTTTTACGTGCAGGAGCTGAGGGAGCTCCTGAGGGAGCAGAGCAGGGATCTGGAAAGATTTTAGTAATTTCCCAAATGCTTTAGCCTGCTACTCTCCTCTTAATAAATTCTACTTCTGCTCTCCACAATATACTAGCAAACAGAATGCAACAGCAAATCAAAGAGTGTGCACCATGATCAAGTGGAATTTATTCCAGGAATGTACGGATGGCTCAACATCAGAAATGAATCCATGAGAAGAAAGAAATGGTACAAAAATGATGATAGCAACAATTGTACAATCATGCTTGATATAAATGAACTATGGATTGTTATAACATCTACAGATCGCACTGCTTCTAGTCTCCTAAATTAAAAGGTAGGTAGAACAGGTCTTGTGAACGAAATAAATTCAAGACCTACATATCTACCAACAGCAAATATATATACATATATATAAATTGATGTATGTATGGATTGTGATAAGAGTTGTATGAGCCCCTAATAAAATGATCTAAATAAATAAAACAGGAACTGATACCAAGGGCTCAAATAGAATGTAAATGTTTAGAAAATGATGATGGCAACATATGTACAAATATGCTTGATACAATTGATGCATGGAATGTTGTAAGAGCTGTAAGAGCCCCTAATAAAATGATTTTTCACATTATATATATATATGCAGAGCTCCCAATAAAACAGAAGGGAAAAAAAGAAATGAATCAATGTCATACAGCCTATCAACCGGACAAAGGGAAAGACCCATATGATCATCTTAATGGACACGGAAGATGCATTTGATAAAATCTAACCCTCTTCTTGAGGAATCCCTACAGAAAGTTGGCATAGAAGATGAATTCCTCAATATGATTTAGGGCACATACCTGTATCAAAAGCCAACAGCCAACATTATACTTAATGGAGAAAGAGCTTTCTTCTTGAAATCAGGAATAAGACACTCTTACTGCTTCTATTCAATAATATATTAGAAGTCCTAGCCAGAACAATAAGTCAAGAAAAAAAATAAATTAAAATAAATGTTTAAAAAGCTTGGAAAAGAAAAAGTAATTTTCATATATCTTTACTATATTCACAGGATTAAATGACCCTATGAATAGAAAGCCCCAACGAGTTCATACCAAAAAAAAATCTGCAACTAAACAGAGGAATGTCACAAAGCTGTAGACTGCAAGTCCACAAAGGACAGTCACTTGGGGTTCTGTGCCCGCCAGCAATGAGAAACCTGGACAGAAAGGAGGGGAGTGGCTCCCCACAATCATGTCTGAGAGCGTTACATAGCTAGGAAAAATTCTGACTTCTATCATTTGAGGGATTTATATAATGAAAACTACAAAACACTGCTGAAAGAGATTAGTGAAGACTTAACGAAATAGAAGAACGTTCCATGCTCAGAAATTAGAATTAATATTGTCAAGATGTCGATACTAACCAAAGTGATCAATGGATTCCACACAAACCCCAATCAAAATGCTAACAGCCTTCATTACAGAAAAAGAAAAATCAATCCTCAACAGTATGTGGGATGACAAGAGGTCTAGAATAGCTAAAACAATGTTAAAAGAGAAGATCAAAATAGGAAGAGTCACACTTATCAATTTTAAAACATACTATATAGCTACAGTAATCAAACAGCCTGGTACTGATTTAACAATAGACACATAGTCCAGTGGAATAGAATAAAGAGTCCAGAAATCATCCACACATCTATGGTCAACTGATTTTTTTATAAAGGTGCTAAGTCCATTCTATGGGGGAAAAGAATCTTCAATAAGTGATACTAGGAAAATTGGATTTTTACATAGCAGAAAAGGAGACAGGACCCATGCCTTCACACTATAAACAAAACCAAATTAAAAATGAGTTAAGGACCTAAAGTGTACAAAGCAAAACCATAAAATTGATATAAGAATAATCAGGAACAACACTGTCAGGCTGAGCTTTCAACAATGGAATATCTAATATATCACAAAAATGTAAACTGAAAAAGACAACATAAATAAATGGGACTTCAGAAAAATGTACAATTTTGTTCATCTAAAGACTTTACCAGATGCGGGAGGGGGGAGCGGGGAGGGAGGGGAAAAATGAGGACCTAATGTCGGGGGTTTAAATGGAGAGAAAATGTTTTGAGAAACGATGTACAAATGCGCTTTACACAATTGATGTGTGTATGGATTGCGATAACAGTTGTATGAGCCCCTAATAAAATGTTATAAAAAAAAAAGAAAAGACTGTACCAGAAAAGTGAAAAGACAAGTTACTGACTTAGAAAATACCTTCAAAAACCATACATCCAATAAGAACACACACATCATCATATGATCGAGCCCGTTGTTGCAGCCACTGGGTCAATCTCTCTCACTGAGGGGCTCCCCCCTTTCACGGACCCTCTCCTTTACCTTTTGCCCATAGAGGCAAAGAAAATCCACAATGAGATATCCTTTTACTCCCATGGTACGGTTAAGAATTCTTTAAAACACGGGTAGCAAGGATGTAGGGAAACTGGAGCCTTTATCCATTGCTGGTGGGAATGCAAAAGGCTACAGCTATTGTGTTAAGCAATATGATGGTTCCTCAAAAGACTATAAATAGAACAATTCCATCCCCCTACACACCCATCAACAGATGCATAGTTGATGCAAGATCGGTCTCTCCCCAGGAGGATGAAAGACGAGTCCTCAAAAGACACCTGGGCACAATGAGCCCAAGGGGACCAATGAACCAAGCAGACATCCGACTCCCCACCCTGAGACCAGACCAACTAGACGGTGTCTCGCTGCCCGCCACCTACTCCATAGAAGGTCCTGGATAGAATGGGAGGAAAAGGTGCAACAAGACTCAAAATCATAAATGACGCAAGGCGTGACTGCCTGCATAGGGCTGGTGGAACCTCCAAGACACCCTACAGGCCTGGAAGGGACCTCAACCTTTTGGCTCAATTTCAGCCAAACAAGTTTTAAAAGCGAAGGAACAAAGGCAGAATGGAAACGGGAAATGACAGAGGAACGGGATACGTGGTGGTGCAGAGAGGGGAGTGCAATAAATGCGATGAAGCAAAATGCGTACCGATTGTTCAGTGTGCAACGGATCATCCGCTCCGTGAACCCGATCCACTACAAAAAGCTTTCTTAAGAAAAGAATCAGTGTGAATGAGGGGGAGTGCAGAGCGGAGACCCAAAGCCCATCTGTAGACAACTGGACATCCCCTTACAGAGGGTCACAAGGAAGAGAGTAGGCAGGGTGTAGTATAACAACGATGAAACATATAACTTCCCTCTAGTTCTTTAATGCTTCCCACCCTCCCATTGTCATGACCCCAATTCTACCTTACAAAGCCAGCAAGATCAGAGCATGTACACTGGTACAGATAAGAGTTGGATACACAGGGAATTCAGGGCAGATAAACCCCTCAGGACCAATAATGAGAGTAGAGATACCAGGAGTGGAAGGGGAAGGTGGGGAGAGAAAGGGGAACCTATCACAATGATCTACATATAACCCCCTCCCTGGGGGATGGAAAACAGAAAAAGTGGGTGAAGGGAGACATTGGTCAGTGTGAGACATAAAAAAATAACAATTTATAAATTATCAAGACGGAGGGAAGGTGGGGGAGGGAGTAGAAAAAATGAGGAGCTGGTACCAAAGGCTCAAATAGAAAGAAAATGTTTTGAGAATGATGATGGCAACAAATGTACAAATGTGCTTAAGACAATGGAAGGATGTGTGGATTGTGATAAGAGTTGTATGAGCCCCCAATAAAATGATTTAAAAAGAAAGGGGAAAAAAGTGTTGAAAAGCAAGGGTGTTACTTTGAGGACTAAGGTGTACCTAACCCAAGCCATGGTCTTTTCACTTGTCCCATAAGCATGTGAAACTTGAACATTGAATAAAGAGACTAAAGAGGATTAAAAAAAGAATATGTTCTGAAAATGATGGTGGCAACACGTACAAATGTGCTTGATACAATGGATGGATGTATAGATTGTGATAAGAGCTGTAGGAGCCCCCCATAAAATTTTTTTTTATTAAAGAAAAGAAAACATAACAGAGGAATAAGCCAAATGTATGACGTGGAGACCCTGAAAGACCCTTCAGCCAGTGGAAGGAAGTAAGTCTGAAGACGTTAATCCAAAATCCAAGCCCACTGCCATGGGGTTCATTCCCATGCAGACCACCCGGGGCAGGGTGCCAAGTCTACACATCTGTAGCACAGCCGACAGCCTCATCTTTCTTGTGGGGAGTAACCGGCCGCTTCTACTGCGGACCTTGACCTAGTAGTCAGCGCTAACCAGGCAGCACCGCCAGATGATGCTGAGAGGAAAAGCTAGTCACAAAGGACAAAGAGTGTATGACCTTGCTTTGATAAAATGACAAGAAATGGCAAATATACCCTGTTTCCCTGAAAATAAGACAGTGTCTTATATTAATTTTTGCTCCCAAAGATGCACTAGCTCTTATTTTCAGGGGATGTCTTATTTTTCCATGAAGAAGAATACAGTATACATTTATTGTTTATTGTTTTATTAAAAGAGACCTCGCACTTCCTGTCTGCTCTGGCTGCACTGTGGCCAACAGTGAGCTGCGTAGCGGTGCCCGCCGCTAAGGTCCAGAGTCCAGAGTTACTGTAGCTTCGGGGGGCCTTATTTTCAGGGAGGTCTAATTTTCGGGGTGATGCCCTCTATTTCAGCGAGAGGCAAAACTATAAGTAGGTCTTATTTTCGGGGGATGTCTTACTTTTGGGGAAACAGGGTAGGGAGACCAAAGTTCATTAATGGTTATCAGGGAGGAATGGGGAGAAGGGGGGTTAAGGTGATGGACAATCTAATGGATTAAGGGTAGCAATGATTATCATTGCTGTCAATAAGGTTAAAAAGCTGAATTGGCAAAAGTTGGCAAGAGACCGTACAAGGCACAACAAGGTGCGTGGAGATTTTCTAGAAGAATCTTGATCAAAAGGGGGAGGTAAGTGCAGAACAGAATTTCAAATGCTCACGACTAGTACTGTTGTCCTAAGAGCATCTTTAAACTTTAAACTAAAAATACCCCCTGAAATCATCTTCAAACAGAACTATAGCGTACTTTGATTAGTAGAAATGTTCTGCCTTAAGCCTGGTGCCCTTTCTTTCTTTCTTTCTTTTTTTTAATATTTAATCATTTTATTGGGGGTTCATACAACTCTTTTTTTCATACAACTCTTATCACAATCCATCCATCCATCCATTTTGTCAAGCACATTTGTACATTTGTTGCCATCATCATTCTCAAAACATTTTCTTTCTACTTGAGCCCTTAGTATCAGCTTCTCGTTTTTTACCGTCCCTCCCTCATGAACCCTTCATAATTTATAAATTATTATTTTGTCATATCTTACACTGTCCGACATCTCCTTTCACCCACTTTTCTGTTGTCTGTCCA